AAAAAGGGAAGGAGGGATACGGCTCTGAACTATAGACCAGTTTCCTTGACCAGCATAGTTTGCAAAGTTATGGAGAAACAACTAAGGAAACATATCTCTCTTCACTTGGAATCCTTCAACTTTTTGTCAGTGAGGCAACATGGCTTCAGAGAAGGTAGATCAACAGTAACAAACTTATTAGAATTTTATGATGAGGTAAGCCAAATCTTACAGGAAAGAGAGGGCTGTGCAAATTGCATATTCCTAGACTTCCAGAAAGCATTTGACACTGTTCCACATGGGAGACTTATTAGGAAGCTGCAAGCAATGGCTAGAATAGGTGGAAATGTTTTGGAATGGATAAAAACTTACTTAGAAGGAAGGGAACAGAGGGTTAGAGTAAGACACTCAGTGTCTGAATGGAGAAGAGTTAGTAGTGGAGTTCCACAGGGTTCAGTTTTAGGGCCACTTTTGTTCCTTGTATATGTAAATGACCTACCAGAGTCTGTGAATTCATTCATGAATATGTTTGCAGATGATGCAAAGATTGTGAAGAAAGCAAAAAACGAGAACAATGGTAGAGAACTTCAGGAGGATCTAAATAATCTGCAAGAGTGGTCAGAAAAGTGGCTAATGAAATTCAATACTTCAAAATATAAGGTAATGAGAATGGGTACAAGTGCAAGAAGGCCCAAGCTTGACTACTCGGTGGTTGGAGTACAACTTCAAGAGACAGAAAATTAAAGAGATCTAGGAGTAAACATACTGGCAGATTTGTCTCCAGAAATACATATAAATGGCATAGTAAGGGCAGCATATGCATTCTTATCAAATGTAAGGGTAGCCTTCAGGCACATGGACAAGGAAATGTTCAGAAATATTTATGTCACCTATGTGAGGCCAAAACTGGAATATGCAGCCCCCTTTTGGAATCCGCACTTGAAAAAGCACATAGCTAAGCTTGAAAAAGTTCAAAGACATGCCACGAAACTGGTGCCAGAAATACGCAATCTCAGTTATGATGAGAGGCTGAGGGAATTAGACTTACCATCACTCGAAGCTAGAAGAGTGAGGGGGGATATGGTGACAGTGTTTAAATTCCTTCATGGTTATGATAGAGTGGATAGGGATGGATATTTTGATATGGGTGGCTCTAGAACTAGATGTCATAGTTTGAAGCTTCGTAAGAAAACTTCTTTGCAGGATGTAAGGAAATACTTTTTCAGTGTAAGAGTAGTTGATGATTGGTATTGGCTAAGCGAGGAGGTAGTTAATGGTATCTCAATCCATAGTTTTAAGGACAGGTATGATAAGTATGACTAAGTATAAAATGGAAGCGATCAGGAGACGGGAAGATACGAGCTTTGGGCTCTTTCCCGTAAACACAACTAGGTAATCACACACACACACACACACACACACACACACACACACACACACACACACACCACACACACACACACACACACACACACACACAGTTGAAGAAATAATCTTGGCTATAGAAAGTGAGTTCAAGGAATTTCTTGTTGCTCGCATAAATACTGGGTCAGAGAGCATTATAATAACTGTTGTATACAACCCACCAAGGAACCAAAATAGGCTTGAAATTTATGAGGAAAGTCATATAGGTACTATTGAAGTCATAAACTCAGTTGTTAACATGGCACAGGAAAAAAATGTAGGATTTTGATTATGGGAGACTTTAATCATAAAGAGATAGATTGGATAAATCTTGACCCACACAGTGGTGAGGACTCATTTGGGGCAAGATTCCTAGATTGCGTACAAGGGAATTTCCTACACCAACATGTAATGGAACCAACAAGGGCCAGGGGTGGGGATGAGCAATCACTACTTGATCTAGTGTTCACAGATAATGTGTTGGATATTGAAAAAATTGAGTATGAACCACCAATTGGAAAGAGTGACCACTGTGTGTTGTTGATGGAGTATATCATTGAAGATATTCTTCCTGAGAGTAGAGGCACTGAGGACATGAGGAGGAACTATCCGAAAGGAGATTACATCAAAATGAATGAGCTTTTTGCAGTTCTTGACTGGAGAACCTTATTTTACAACAAATCTATACAAGAAATGTATGACATCTTTTGTGAGAAATATGGGAAGATAGTAGATTGCTGCATACCTGTCACCAAAGTAGGTGTAATTCATGCCAGCGAGAAATGGTTCGATGATGGGTGTAAAAGAGCTAGGGAGTGGAGAGACAAATGCTGGAAAAGGTATAGGAGGAGAAAAAACATAAATGCCTGGCAACCTACAAAAGAGCAAGAAATGACTACCTAAGTAAAAGGAGAGAGGCAGAGACAGACTATGAGAGGGACATCACCAGGAAGGCTAAAGAAAATCCCAAGCTTTTCCACAGCTTTATCAGAGGAAAACTGAAGGTAAAAGAACAGGTTTTAAGGCTAAAGAGAGCGGATGGAAGCATCATTGAGACGGATGAAGAGATCTGCAAAGAATTGAGCAAGGAGTTTCAGTCAGTATTTACAGTAGAAAA